GGTTGCACAAAGCTCTTTACGGGTTGCGACAAGCACCTCGGTCATGGAATGTGAAACTCGACAAGGTGTTAAAAGAATTGGGGTTCAAGAAATGTGCACATGAGCAAGCCGTGTACAAGTTGCAGTGTAAGAACTCAATGTTAATTATCGGTGTGTATGTTGATGATATGATTGTGACGGGGTCGAGTGAGAAACAAATTCAAGAATTCAAGGTTAGAATGAACACAATATTTGACATGAGTGACCTGGGGAAGTTGAATTATTATCTAGGGATAGAGGTGAATCAAGAGTAAGATAGTATCTCAATTAAGCAGGAAACTTATGCCGAAAAGATTTTGGAAGAAGCAGGAATGTCACAGTGCAACCCAGCAAAATGGCCACTGGATCCTAAATTGCAACTGACCAAGGATGAAGGTGGGAAGGCAGTCAACCCAACCAAGTACAGACGTATAATTGGAAGTCTCCGATATCTGATTAATACTCGTCCCGATCTCAGTTACTCGGTTGGGGTAGTAAGTAAATTCATGCAGTCACCGAAAGAAAGTCACTACGCAGCTGTAAAGCAGATTTTACGTTATCTCAGGGGTACAACTAGTTATGGTTTAAAGTATCGAAAGGGTGGAAATGGGATGATTTGTGGATATAGTGACAGCAGCTACGGTTTTGATATTGAGGACCGGAGAGGAACGACCGACATGGTGTTCTACTATTCAGAAAAACCGATCACATGGGCATCTCAAAAACAGCAAACGGTTGCATTAAGCTCATGTGAGGCCGATTTTATGGCTGCGACAGCGGCAACATGTCAAGCGTTGTGGCTAAGAAACATGGTTAGTTTTTTTTACAGGAAAACAGGCTCAAAGGGTGCAACTTCTAGTCGACAATCAATCAGCTATAACATTGATGAAAAATCCTGTGTTTCATGGGCGAAGCAAGCACATCGACACTAAATTTCACTTCATACGGGAGTTTGTGGAGCGAGATCAAATTCATGTCGAGCATGTAAGTAGCCATGTGCAGAAGGCGGATATCTTAACTAAAGCTTTACCTCAGATTAAATTCACTGAGATGAGAAGGTTGATTAGGACTGAAGATGTCAACATTAAAGGGGAGAATGTTGATTAATGATGATTTTAATGTTGATGAGTTATTATGGATGGGTAACAGTCGACAGTTATCCATGATACTAGGGTGGTGGACCAAGTTTTCAGATTTTATTTACTCTATTGTAAGAATAAATAGGCGTGTTACAGCAGCCTTTCAAGTAGCTCCGTTTTTAGTTTCTGTTCTGTTTTTTGTTCATGTTTTTTCCCTGTCAAGAAGTATTCAATAAAGCTTTGGTTGTGAAGCATTACAATAGTGACTCATCCTCTTTGTTATCACCGGTTCAGTTTTAAGGCTTTGAATCCATCATCATTTTCAGGAAATATATCATTTTATTGATCTTCTCAAGTGCTTCATGACTATACAGGTAGGCTTGCATATTATGTTACTCATTTCTTCTACTGGAAAGACATGCTTCTACTATGAACCTTAAGCCTAAGGGCAGATTTTTGAGTAAGCTAACATAGCATATTGAATTCTTGAAAAAACTTTTAGATGCCCTTTTAGTAGTTACTATAAACAAAATTTTGATACAATTTTTAAATGAACATATTATATACTGTAAATGTGGAAAACTGAAGGAAAATAGCAAAGAACTTTACATAGCTAAAACGGTATGTGTTATATGATTTATGTGTGTGTGTGTGTGAAAGTATGTTCCTATTTAAAGCATTTAAAACTATTAATTTTTTTTAACTCCTTGTGTGATTTTACTATTTTTTTAATGATTTTTTTTAGTTTTGCGTATTCGCATACTTGATCTTGAAAGTATGTTGCTATTTTGAGCATTTAATGTAAGTATGTTGTGTTGGTACGCTACATGAATATAATATTGTACTTATGGAATTCATTATACACATGTATAATTAGGTAGCAAAACATTGACCAAACCTGAGAAAGCCTTAAACCACATGCTAAAACAAATGCATCAGGATATTTGATATTCATGGTTAAAAAAATGATCGTTTTGCCCTCCGGTTCAATTCTCCAAAATGGAAACTATCTTTACATTGGGGGACAAAAGGTATGATGTTAATCATCTGCGGTCATTTTAGTATAATTATATTTCTTTTATATATATATATATATATATATATATATATATATATATATATATATATATATATATTAGGATTGTTAAAAAGAGAAATAAAAAGAGGACGTACATATTCCATCAAAATACCATTTTTAACCCCAGATAATAGCAATATACTCTAAGGACTTCACTAGAAATACCAAGCAATTTTGTTTTATTTGTTAGTAAATGTCACCCACATCAATGAGTTTTCACCAACATCATTTACCTTAGCCAAGAATGCCCAGGGGTAGAATAGTCATCAGAGATGACCAATCAACGGATATAGTTTCAGTCGATTTCTTGGTACTAAACTACTGGTGGATAGGTAATTTCTACAAATTTTATTTTTATTATAAAATTTCATTATCATTTTTATATCACTTTTCACAATATAATTTTATTATGAAAATTATGTAGTACATATGTATGATCATCAAACGGGTGGATCGGTATCCAACTTTCAATCTGTGTCAGGTACTACTTTTCTCATATATTTTTTTTGAAATCATTATTTTTCCAGACAACACTTAATATAGACAAATCTTAATGATATGCATTTGATGCAGATACTGTTAATGGTTTTTCTTCCCATCCATTTTTGCCAATGACTGCCACATCATCAGGGCACTCGAGATCTGTAAGTCGTGATGAGTATGATGAAGAATTGGGTTTGAATTTACGAGGTATTTGTTTTCATATTAGTAATGTATAAACTTAGTGCAACAAATAGTCACATATTTTTCTACTTTTTTAGTCCAAATTCAATAACATCCATCTTTTATCTATATTTTTTTTTTTTTTGCATGATATGGCTCAGATTAAGTTGATAAATCTTTAAAATTAAAGTTATATCCTTAATATAAAATTATAGACGCGTTAACCGATGTAAAAATGGCATTTGTTTTGTGAAAATGACCCTTTTGTTCATGGATAATGCATATGATCTCAATTTATTTTTCAAGGGTAAATTGCACATAGAAGGAATATAGTTATGGTTGCAACCTTATAACAACCAAGAATCTGCTAGTTCCCACAATTCCCTATCATTCTACTTTGAAGATTTGTCTTCTGTTATCTCTTTAATATTTTTCATTTTCTGGTTTATATATATTGAAGCTTATCATGGGTTGGCTACTTTTTTGAATCAAAAAAACAAGTTGTTTGCTAGATTTGAATACTCCAAGTCCAAAAGGAAAGACCAATCTAATTTACCCTTGCAAGATGTCAAAGATGAAGTTTAATTTATCTATTGGAAGCTGTTAAAAGTTGATGTTGCCGAGTTTTGGAGAAGTATACTGCTATTTTAGTTGTTCTCAAGCCCTCTCACTTTCAAGCATTTTCATCAAATGACATAGAAAATCCGACTTAGTATGAAGGTTGTTGTCTAAAGAAGCCCCCTCACAGTTTACACTTTTAAGCCTATTAGATGTTGTTCACCCCAAGATATGATGCTTCTTTATTTTCACATGTATTTTACATATTTACTTTAATTGTTCCAGCCCTCAGCTGGTCATGTCTAATATCTATATATGAACCGTTAAAAAAAACACTTGTAAACATTTTATAAGTTGCAAATTAATTATTGTTTCTTCGGGTAAAATGAAAGTTACTTATTGTTTCTTTCGGTAAATAAATGAAATCGGGTGTTATTATGATAAAGAAATGTAAGAATGAGACTATTATTGATGAAACAAGTACATTGTCTATATATTGAGAGTGAGAATAAAGTAAGTTGTGTGTGTGTGTGTTTATTTATTTATTTTTTATTTTTGCAATTTCACCTTATTTCTATCATATGCTAAATGATTGTTTATATCTTTTAAATTTTTGGAATTTTTGTTTGTTTACTTTTTTTTACAAATTTGGTCTTTATTTTGTTGTTTCATACCGATATTGGTTCATCTTCCAAGTAAAATGACTTTTTAAGGAGTTTTTTTTTTACCATGGGTTTGGATTTTTTTGTATATATTATGATTTGGTATTTTGAATTTTGTTTAGGATTTGAGGTTTTTCCTATGTATTTTAAGGGTAGAATGAATGAATTGGTGGGGCGGTGATGAGAAATAGGATGGGGACGGGTTGGGTTGGGATGGTGGTTCCAAAGCCTATGATAATATTCTAAAATTAACTTAAATAATATATTTTTATAAAATAAATATAAAAGTGGAATATTGTTAGTTTACCTGGAATAGGACTAAATATGTTATAAATATTTTTAAAGGACCAAAATTGCAAAAGAAAATTTTTGTGGGCCAAAAACAAATAGGACCTTTCACTATTGGATTGAAATTCGGTTCCACAAAAAAAAATTGTCAAGAGTACATTTGCTTCTCCCATTTTCGGACCTTTTTAAAGCTTTTTTGGGTCAAGTAAACTCATTTGTCATCCGCTTAATGCGTATAACTACAGTCTAGATATTATAGCATCATTAAGTTTATACACGTTTAAATAATGCTTAGTATATTGTAAGTATATATTAGGATATAATGAAAAAAGTTAGTTTGTGTTTCATTTGATTGTGTTTTAGTTGATTGTTATTCTTTTATTTGATTGTGTTTTAGTCTATTGCTATTCTTTAATTCATTATAATTGGGTAGATTTGTCATTGTACAATGCTAACAAGAGACCAAATAAACAAAGGATGCTACAGAAGAAAGTAAAATCAATCTATTGTTTTTACATCAATCAACCCGTCTACCGGACGGATATAACCCTAGTTGAATACGATTACTGGTTTTTGAGACTTAATTAAAAAAAATATATATAATAACTAAATCGATTATGAGGCTAATATGTAAGGATTTTTTTGCAATTTTCTCTATAACCATAAATGAGATATAATTCCCATTGAAACCCATTTAAAACCAACAAAAACTCATACTACAGATATAGCGACATGACATACAATCGATACTGAATCTAGCTAAGATTCAAGTTTATTTAGCTATTATATAATTTGTTGATATCACAAGTAGTAGTTAATTAAGAGGCAATTATCTGAATCTTCATGCCAGCACCACAATGGCCAGGGAGAGTGCAAACGAAGTTATTAAGACCCTTCACAAGCTTAATTCGGTCTTTTCCACTTGTGTACACTTTTGCATTTCTTGGGCTGCTGCTGCACCCATTATACCCTGCCTTGTTCACTGCGACCACATTGTGTGCTCCTCTCTTGTAGTTGAATACTGATTTCACGATAAAGTTATAATAAAATGTAAAATAAGATAGTAATAACAAACATTAATGTCAAGTCATTTACTTATCTGCTTAACCCATAATCATATTATTATTATCGTACATATCTAAAATGGTTAAATATGTACTCACTATATATTACATACAGGTGAATGGTGTCGAGGTTAATCGGGGGAGGAATACTACATAAAGAAAGAATTATGCGTAGTTTTGCAACAAGCCTCGTAATGGTGTCTGGTTAGTAGGCATATATCAGTTAACATACAGACAATTTATTAAATAATGCATGTAAATATATGTAGTCAAGTTTTTTATTGTATAAAGGGTGATAGAATATATACCAAGCACGTCGCCAGCCCTGAAATTCTTGCCATGGGGCCAGTTGGAGAGGTTAAAGGTCCAGCCACTACGGCCGCCAACGACATAGGTGGCAGCCTGAGCTACCTGGCAATGAAGCACTGCCGCCACTAGGCAGAACACCACCGCTGCCGCCATAGCACTGCCTCTTCCCTCCGTCATGGTATGGTCAAAACTTAAAATAAAGAAGTGATGGAGGGATCGTGTTCTATTGAATTTTATGTTTTGTTTGTGGGAAGTATGGATGGATATGATCCAATTTATAGGAAAAATATATATTTTTGAAAAAGAAAACATATTAATTATTATCATTATTTTTTTGAGTTGTTTCGGAAAAAAAAAGCAACAAAATTTGTTTAAATCTTTTGAGAATTTATTTATTTTCTTATTAACAATTGTCAAAATTAATACATTACCAAAAAAAATATTAAATATGATATTATTTGTCGATTATACAAAAAATAAGGATTTTATAATTTAAATTCAAGGGTTTTAATAATTCTTAATAATATTGATATATAAAATTAATTAAAGAAAAACCTTGTCGACATGAGAAAATTTTAATATTTTTATTATGAGACGTTTGGTGAAAATTACTATATTGTTTTATATGGTAAAGTCTTATAGTTGAATTTTTTTTTCATCAGATATCATCATTAGAACTGGGTAATACCGTTGATTATAGTTCACCTTTATATGAATTCGTTTTCCTTTTATGAACAAGTCTTAATTATAAACATTCCAATTGAATGATATATTGGCTGATGTGAACGTAGTTAGTAATGACAGCACAAAAGTTGATACAGGAGAAGAGCACTATGTTAGACTTACGTGGCATATGGTTTGATGTCCTATAATGAAAGGTTATATTAGTGTGTTTGTAACATTGAATAAGAATGATTACGAAGATGTTCAAATATTGTTATTTATTCATGACTTGATCTTTCTTATTAACTAGGGGATTTGAATAGGTTTCGACCAAATATGTCAAAAGAAAGGATTCAAATTTGTAAATTATGGAATGACAACAATGAAAATACAGATTTTTGTGAGTTAAGATGAGAGGTTTGATAAATCAAGGAACCTAGATCATAGATTTAAGTATAAACTTACCTTGGATGGTAGTCCTTGTGAAAAGTCTCCTTGGAATGACCTTAAATCTCGAAAATTTAGAAGAAGGAGGGAGGAGATGTTCTTCAAAACTTCGAGAGGATGAAATGAATTTTTGTGAGTGTATGTGTGTGTGTTCGGCCGAGAATGAGAGAGAGGGAGAAGAAGAGAGATCTTGAAGTGATGTATGCATGGATATATGGGACAAGATGCATGGAAGACCCTTGAATAATTGCGAGGTGGCAACAAAGGTCAACTCTTCCTTTTCTTTGGGCTTGGGCCGAGATTGGAGAGGGGAGAAGAGATTTTTGGGCTTTATTGCCCCTAAGCCCATATAGGAGTTAAGTTGAATGATTGTTGGTCCTATAAAATACAAGTGAGATTTTTATACTTTGTTGGGCTAGTTTAGGTTAATTATGGTTCATAGTATTTAATTTATTTCATTCTAGGCCCAATATGGCCCAAAATGTTGAAATAAATGAATGTGGATCCAATTAGAGCCCATTTAAAGGTTCTAATCCCATGATAGTCAAATTGGAAGCTTATTGGTCCATTGAGTCCAATAAGGAAGTCCTAGCCCAAAATGGACCTAACAAGAACTTCTAGGGTTTCTAATTGCTTGTTGACTATTTGTAGTACTTGTATGGTGTATTGGATTGAAGTTTTTGTTGTCATAGAGTAAGCATCATACATGCTCTTAACTTTTTGATTCTACATTTTACTTGAGTGTAGTGATTACAATACACAAAATTTCTAGTTGTGACATCATCCCCCCGTTAGAGGGAATTTCGTCTCGAAATTCTATTTGAAAGCTAGATTTGAGAATGTTAGAATAGGTGAGGGTACTTTTGCTTCATTCGGTCTTCGTGTTCCCATGTGAATTCTGGCCCACGCTTCGCGTTCCACCGTACTTTCACGATCGGGATGCGACTTTGCTTAGTACGCTTCACCTCCCTGTTCATGATTTCAACCGGTTCTTCAACGAACAGGAGATTCTCGTTAATTTCGATCTCGTCAAGGGGAATGACGAGTGTTTCATCCGATAGCCACTTCTTTAGATTAGAGACATGGAACACGGGGTGTACACTGTTTAGTTATGCTGGTAGTTGCAGTTTATACGCCACTGGACCTATTCGGGCGACGATCTTGAAAGGTCCAATGTATCGTGGGTTCAGTTTTCCCCATTTTCCGAAACGAATAAATCCTTTCCAGGGTGAGACTTTCAACAGTACTCGATCCCCGACTTGAAATTCTAAGGGCTTTCACCGTTTATCGGCGTAGCTCTTTTGTCGGTCGCGCAATGCTTGTAATCGAGCTCTGATTTGAACAATCTTTTCCGTGGATTCACGAATGATCTCCGGTCCCGTTAGTGCCTTTTCCGATGTATGTCTTTTTGCCAGTTGGGTATCACCCACCTCCGCCCAACATAACGGTGATCTACACGTATGCCCGTATAGTGCTTCGAAAAGAGAGACCTTGATGCTCGAATGATAACTATTGTTATATGAGAATTCGACTAAGGGTAAGTGGGAATCCAAGACTTCCCAAAGTCTATCACACATGCGCGGAGCATGTCTTCGAGCGTTTGAATGGTTCGTTCACTTTGACCATCCGTTTGTGGATGATATGCGGTGCTCATGTCGAGATGAGTTCCCAGTGCCTTCTGGAGAGATTGCCAGAAACGTGAAGTGAACCTACTGTCTCTATCCGAGATAATAGACATTGGTACTCCGTGGAGTCTCACGATTTCTCGAATGTATAAACGTGTCAATCTTTCCATCTTGTAGGATTCCTTTATGGGCAGGAAATGGGTAGATTTTGTCAGTCGGTCGACTATTACCCATATGGTGTCTAGTCCATCCGACGTCTTGGGTAGCTTGGTCACGAAATCCATAGAAATCCCCTCCCATTTCCACTCAGGGATTACCGGTTGCTGTAATTGTTGGATAAGGTGTCTAAGTCCATAACTTATTTGGTATATACTTGACCCGACCGGCATGGTCCATTTGGGTTGCATCTCATCCAAACTATTATGGATAATTTTATGAGAGTTATACACATATGTTTATTAATATATTATGAGTTATAATATATCAATATGAAGTTACATTATTTAATTACTTTTAGTCTTAAATTAAGTATGAATTAATTTAGAGATTAAAAGGAAGACTAATTAGATTATGGGCTATTTGTTTTATATAGTGTGGGCTAATACTCATTTGTTAATGGGCTAGGCTTATGTGGAAGTCCATGGATGATCCATGGAACTTTTAACCCATGGATCCTTGGAAAGGAAAAGACATGGGTTATTAGGGTTTCACCCTAACCATGCACACTATATAAGCATGCTTATGGAGCATGAAATGGAGCCTAAGAGGAAACTAGTGAACTAGTGTGTGTGTGCTTGTGTGTGACCGATTTTATACAAGGGTGTATACTCTCTCAATGTTTTCCAAGAGTTTGTGGTGTTTTGTAATTCCATTTGAGGCATTCACACTATTGGTGCTTGGCCCTCAAACTCCTTAGAACCAAACTCATCAAAAGGTATGTAATCTCTTCTAACTCTTTTATGTTGAAATGTTCCCCATGCCATGTTAGATAGGTTATAAACCTTGGAAAATTATTATTTTGCATGTATTTAGACAAACATAGATCCAAGGTTTATTAGGGTTGCATGTACACTTAGGAAGTGTTAGATTGCTCAAAACCCAACAGTGGTATCAGAGCCTAGGCTTGCTTGTTTGATACTTGATGCAAAATAGTAAAAAAAAAAAGTCGAAATCGTTGCTGTCTGCATGGTGGACTCGCCGAGTCCATTGGGGGGACTCGACGAGTCCAAGGCAAACTTCAACCTACTCGGCGAGTAAGTTCATGCACTCGACGAGTAGGATCGAAAGAGTGCAGTTTTTCGACTTTTGCTGCTGGAAATGGACTAGAAACATTACCCTAAACTGTTTTGGTGTTATAAAACTTATTTTAGTTGGTGTAGTGGTTGTTCTAATCCACTTGCAATAGCATATATCAAAATTCCATGATTTTATGTGTTCATATAATTCTTGAATTTTTGATGATCATGTCCATGTTCTTATGAATTTAGAAAATGATAGGAATTATTTGCTGAATTGTTTAGAATTAATTCTTGATAATTTATGTGTTTTAATGGAGTCCATAATTTGTCCTCAAGTTATGGATTTCCAAAGGTCACTCTTATTTAACACACACTTAAAACACATAAGTTACATGAAAATGAAGAGTCTTCATTTTTATGAACATTTAATTCATAAGTTATGAAATGAAGAGTTTTGCAAAGTTACAAAACTTGCCCTCAAGTTTTGGAATTTGTAAAGTTTCACACACTTTAATAAACTTTAATTCCAACCCTTAGAGTTTTAATAGTTAAAATTCAACCCTTATACTATTTATAACATTAACGGTTAATTATTATATATATGTATAAGAATAAGTCGTTTTATCGTTAGTAGGCCTCATTCACGAAGCCAATCTATAAGGTAGGTATAAGGTTGTTGCCTATAAAATGGCGACTTAATGGGTGTATACTCTCACCCACCGCTTGCTTGATCGGTGGAGGGTCGTTAGCCGAACGGGTAGAACAATGACTTTAAATCCTCATTAAAAGTATAATGAATACTATAAAGTAACTAAACTCTTTTAATTCCCAATCTTAGTTATTTTAGGAAAAATATGAACATGGTGCTAGTCCATGGAATTCACACTTTGTACCTTACCAAGTCGTTGGTGGAGCGTGTGTGGTTAACCCGCACACTAACTAGGACTAGTAAGGATCACGAAGGGTGACTTAATGTTTGTCATAGATCAATGGAGCTTGTGTGGTTAACCGGCACATTGATTAGGTGATAATATTAAGGGTACCAAGTGAATTAGCATGGTTATTCACACCTTGTTTTGTGATCCTCGGCATCCCAGTCACAAAACTTGAAGGGCACAATCGAGATTGAAACATGCCATTGAAAAGTTCAATGAATCTCAAAAGAATCTAGGAATTTCAAATCCAATTAAACCTAATAAATCATTTCGTTTTCATGGTGGAAATTGGTGAATCGTCATTCACCTACCTTTCAAATATATTATTAC